GCCGCGCCTCCGAAAGGAGGGGAAGCAACAGTCAGGAGCACAAAGGTTTCCAAAGCGGAACGACAGGAATACCAGCGCCAGCAAGACAATATCATGCAGAACTTACGGCGCCCCGCTGGGGGTCCGATGGGAGCTTGCGATCGTTCTCTGGCCTCCTCGGTAAAGGGGTCGGACGTGGGAGTGGGAGAGGGTTGGGAGGGAGGGGCATTGATGGGCAAGCTGTCCAGGGGGAGGTACGCACTGACGCGTGGCAAGATCACGACTAAGAAGGAGTACAAGACGTACAACCGCGCGGAGAAACGCAAGTGGGCGAAGATCTGGGATGAGACAGGCAGCAGGGGATCGGGGATGCGTGGGGGATGAGAGCTTTGACAAGGACGGTGGTGATGGGTGATGAGGGATCCCGAGAAAGGTGAGGATGATGAGGTGAGGCGGGACTGTAGGTGGTGAGAGTGACGAGGGTGATATATTGGAGGTGCTGATGGCGACTAGGCTAGATGATGATGACGTTGATGATGATGATGGCGATGCTGATGGGTATTGCGTTGATGTGGCTGTCGCTTTGAATTTTCTGATTCGAGGGCCTGTTCGATTGGGAGTTAGCGGGCGCGACGGCAGTACTGAAGTACTGAATGCGACAGAGGGTCTGGGAAACTAGTATAAGAGTAGCAGTGGTAGGAGTAGGGTTAGCGAAGTGTTCCACGTGCTAGCGCAGTGGATCCAACGTTTCAGTGATATTCGAAATGGTACTGGGCCAGGCGAGTGGGACAAGACCATCGAGCTGAAGGAGGAGTACAGGACGAAGCAGGCGAAGGACAGCACTGGTGGCGAGTGGCCGCTCGGGGCTGCGACTAAGAGCGTCGGGGGAGTAAGACGCGAGGGGGGGCTGGTTGGTCGGAGACATCGGGGCCAATCAGTTGATTGTATGCTCAGCTACGTCATGCTATTTCGAGTGCTGTCGGTTGAGTGCGCGTGCGTGCCCATCGTTGGATGTGTTTCATTTTCTTGCCGATGTGCGGTGTTTTGCCGCGCAGCGCCACCCCCCCCCCGCCCCCCCAGCCCAGGTTGGCGGCAGACGGCGTCCTGGCGTCTCTCGGCTGGCGGCCCGAGATCGACAGGACACCCTGCGGACAGAGGCGCTTCGCATGCCGATGAGGAGGAGGAGAGGAGGATGAACGCAGTGAACATCGATGAAGGATGCGGGGATGATCGAGCGACGATCCATTCATGAGCGAGGGGGGGTCTTCCTCCTCCCCCTCCTCGCCATCGGCCTCCATCCTCCTCCACCTCCTCCTCCTCGCCCTCGCCCTCGTCTCCGATCGTATTCCTCATTCTTATCTCCCTCGCCCGTGTCCTGCTGCTCCCCCGTGTGCCTTGCGCCATCTGTGTGAATATGTTTCGCGTCGCGCTTGGGGCGTGCGCCCCCCTCCCGTCCCCAGGCAGGTCGCCGCGCAGAGAGCAATCTTGTCGCACTGCGAGAAGGTCCCCCACCACGCGAAGATCCACCCTCAGCACGGGATTGCGCCGTACAGGAAGATCGACTTCACAGACCTCGAAGAAAAAGCTCATTGCCCTTTCTTTTGATTGTTTGCTTGATTTGCTGATTTGTTCACTGCTTCCTTAAAGACGTGGTGCATTGCTCCGATGGTTTACTTGATACAGAGTAACATGTGATATGTAGTTGCTGTCTGATTACTCGACGCCCCTGTATGTTGCCGCGGTCGTTCATAACGTACTGCGCGTCCTGATGTGACCGGCGCTGCCCGATTGCGTTGCCAGTTGCATGCGCCTTCCCGGTCGACAGGGTCACATTCAGAAAGTGGGTTCTAAGATGACTAGCGAAGAGAAGGACGCGAGCCAGATCCGTCAGCAGCTCGCCCCTCGAGGCCGCGCAGGTAAGGTTCGATCTGGCAAGGGCTTCTGTCTAGCGCCATGCTGTGCGAGGGGGGTTCGGGTTCGGGTGCGTTGTGAGTTTGTCTGTGCACATTTGTATACATGAACGATCGGTGGGTTCGTCGATCGATCCATTCCTCGATCGACGGATCGAGCAGGTCGAGCAGTCATCAGGGATCAGCTCATCACCTATTCGAAATCGGCCGATCGGTCGATCGACGGATCCACCGACGGAAGAGAGATGTGCAACAGCGAGCATTCCCTCGTCCCTCGAAGGGGTTGCGCGGCGATCGTTATGTTGTGTTTTTGGGGGTGGCAGGTCGAGAAGTCATCAGGGGGCTCGTCGTGCTCCGAGTATTCGCCCAGCGACGGCGGCTCGGGCCCTCGCCCTCTCATTATACTGTGCTTCAGCCGTCGACCTACTCCTCACGTGAATCCCCCCGTCCTCCTCGCCCTCCCCCGCCCCTCCCCCTCGCGGATCCTCTTCCAGGCCTGGCCTCTGGACCTCGGACCTCCGAAGCCAATCATTCCCTCGCCAGCGCCGTCTCCCAAGGAGGCAAAGCAGGACGGATATAAGACGACCGACAACGGGGCTGGCCCGTCGGGCGTGGCCATGGGGAAGCAACAAGTTGGGCTGGCGTCCTTGCTGGGCGAGGCATCGCACATCTCGGCCCTCCTCGGTGGATTCACGGCTAGCCATGGGGGGGGGGGATGCGCGACAGGGGTCCAGGAGGATGCAAGAACCTTGGGCCCTAAACCGTTGCTCCTCCGTCGCTCGCTTCCTCCTCCCCCTGAGGGGCCTCATCCTCCTCCTCATCTCCCTCCTCCTCCCCCTCCTCTTCTTCCTTCACCTCCCCCTCTTCCTGAGTCGAGGCCTCTCCGACCCAGAGCTCAATCCGCTGCCCATCCGCGTGCGGGAGGCGAAAGCGAAGGGCACTGGCGTCCTCGCTGCCTTCGACGGCCAGATCAAAAAGAACTTGAGCTCGATCAATGATGCGACAAAGCTCATTACCGATATGATCCAGGGGGCGTCGCCATCTCAGCTTGGCGCGTCGATCGAGGATCCAAGGATCGATCGATCGATCGGCCCTCGAGTCGACTCGAGGGTTACTCGGGTGATGGCTAGCGCAGAGAAAGATCGTTCTCTGCGCTAGCCATCGCCCGTTCGCAACCGACATACCCCAACTTTGTTCGATGTTAGGCTTACCGCTAATCGCGCCCAGGTCTCCGCGCGATGCCGCGGGCGTGAAGGCCCGCGTCGCGGGGGCCTCTGCGCGCGGCCGCGGGGGCCAGCCCACGGGCGCAGCAGAAGGAGGCGGATAATGATGAGGGAGATAATGTCGATGATGGGGACGAGGGCGAAGGGTGAAAAGGATTAGAAAGAAAGAGGATACTGATGATGCGAGGGAGGAGAAGGAGGAGGAGGAGGAGGAAGAGGAGGAGGAGGAGGATAAGTATGGGAAGGAGGGGAAGGATAATGAGAAGTATGAGAGGTAGAAGGAGGATGAGGAGGAGGAGGAGGAGGATGAGAAGTATGAGAGGGAAGGGGGATCATGAGAGGGGGGGGGGGAAGGAGGACGAGGATTATGAGAGGGAGAGGGTGAGAAGTATGAGAGGGAGGGGGAGGGGGAGGATAAGTAGGAGGAGGAGGAGGAGGAGGACACATATGAGAGGGAGGGAAGGAGGAGTATGAGAGGGAGGGGGGGGAATGAGGATGAGGATTATGAGAGGGAGGAGAAGGATGAAAAGCATGATAGGAGGAGTGAGTCTAGCAACCCCTTGGCCTTCCCAGAGGCCAAGAACTTGCTCGGCATCATCCAGCCCTTGGTGGGCGCCTTCCTTTCGGCCCAGAGGGCGCTCGAGACGACCAAGTAAAAGAGATGGCAGGGGATTGCTTCGGGCGCGGTCGACGACTGCGACAACAGCGCAGCGGTGGCGGCAATTCCAGTGGCGGAGGTGGCGGCGGTTGCCGATCGGCAGCGGTGGCAGCGACGGCCAAGAAGTAGAGGGCGAGGGAGGATAGGGGAGGGATGAGGAGGAGGGGGGTATATTATAGGGGGGGGGGAAGGAACGGAGGGGAGAGGGTAGTTCAGGTATAATCAGAGGACCCCGACCCCCGCCCCTCCCCAGGGAGGATGGGGGGGGGGGGGGGGGGGGGGGGGGGGCAGGGGGCGGAGAGAGATGCGAGGGGAGAGGATCGTTCCGGCATAATCAAGGGAATTGCCACCCCTCTTCCAAGGGGGAGGGGGGGGGGGCTAGATTGCGCGTGCAAGGGCTTGCAAGTATAGCTTTAGCGCCGACATCTTCGATTGCGGATGTTGTGCAAGCGTTCCCGAAGCGTTTTTGTTGGCGGACCGCGTGAGATCGGTCAGAGAAAGGCGCTCCCACTCAGCCCTCCTAGATACATGTGTTGCCTCGATCGGTTAATGTGGTTGAATAGCTGTGATGCAAGTTGCAGGTTGCATTCCTCGGCGTGTGTTGATCTCTCGAGCTCGGCATTGGGATTGACTGCTGCAAGTTGCAGGTTGCATTCCTCGGCGCGCGTTGATCTCTCGAGCTCGGCATTGGGGTTGAGCGCGTTCGCAGTAGCATTGCATTTCGATATTCGCATCGTCCACTTCTTGGGCCGACGGTTGCGGTTGAGCACGGGGGCTCGAGCAGAAAGCCATGAGGAGGACCGAGGAGGGCGAGGAGGAGGACCCACTGCATGACCTCAGAAGGGTCGTTGGAAGTGCCGCGCACAACTTGGTTGGCGATCAACCGTTCAGCTATCGGCTGGCAGGTTGACCAGGTCAGGGCGCTCGGATCCGTAACCATTTAGGCTCAAAGTGTACTCAAGTTCACTTGTATCACTCGTTTCACTTGGACTGCAAGTCTCACTTGAACTGATCGTTTCACTCGCCTCACTTGCGTCGCGCCCGATGGCGGCTCGAGCGTGTGCGGAGGCCGTGTCCTTGGAGAGGGCGCAGGGCGATCTTCCGATCACAGACGGCGGGGAGGGCCTCAGGAAGCACCTCCTGGGCCAATTCAAAGCTGGCGCAATGCCAGCTACAATGGTGCATGCAATTTGTTTCCATGCTGTCAGAGCGGGCGCCCGCGGCGTCGAGGACATTGCATTCGCACCAGAGAGCACGCATCACGACCAGCGCCTCGCCCAAGTTCTGCAGGCCCCATCTAAGAACCCGTTCTTTACACCTCTGGTCCCAATGCGGGACAAAGCTACAGAAGAGAGACGGCTGATCCCATTCCCAATGAATTTGCCGCGCGATCAGTATGCCGAGTCGTTTCACGAGGACCCGTCTCAATTCAACCCGGGCAATTATCCAGCTGAGAACATCCCGCCCACGCTGAAGACCCACGAGGTTTTTTTTGTTGAACGAGGATAACTGTGGACAGGTTACTCCTTTTGGATATTTTTCAGACGCGTTCCCGACGACGAAAAAGGATGCATGCATCGCACACTACTTCTCCAACTGTTTGACAGGGGTCAGACATCTCATATGTGTTGTTCGAAAATCTGACTTCTGCCGCTGCGGGTGCCGTGGCTTCTGTGCACTCGGCGCGATATAAGGAGTCATAACTGGGTCATTTAATGTGTTGGCTCTGGGGTTGCACCCTCTTCTCGACCACGAACAGAAACCTTTCCAAGACGAGCTGCGAGCTGCAAAACACGGCTTCCCCATCGCTGAAGGACGGGTCGGCGCTCTATGTGAGCTGCGGGCAGATTTATTGGAGATCGTTGAAGGATGTGGCCTAAAGAATTGGTCTATTTTTAAAACCCATGCTTTGCGTGTGGGTGCCACAAGCACTTTCTGTTCAAGTTTCCGTCTTCAAAGGCCTCGTGTGAATGGCAGCCGAGAGATAAGGCAGCTTATAACATCATGGTCCAACGGTCTCTAGTGAAGAGAACAGTTACCAGCCAACCCCAACTCCGCCGACTTATGCGTTGCATGCATTCCGACGAAGAAATCCATGGGTACGGGTTGCGCGTTCCTTTCCAGAGTTAGACCTCTGTAGAATCTTTCGTCTTTTGGAGGATGGCGACGTGCACGACGTGCACGAACTTAAGGACGTGCCGATCCCAGCAAGACTTACTTTCTTCGACATTGGCATCAACATGGGCCTGAACTTGCTGTGCCCTCTCTTCTCAATTATTGGGTTCGTATGCGAGATGATCCACCTTGACTGCATGCGCATATTAGGCCTCGGAGTTGCACAATGGCTCGTCGGCTCGATTTTCTTTCTTCTGATCAGAGAGAACTTCGCGCAGTCAATGTTGGTTCGGGCCAAAGGCCGCCGCAAGGCGAACCTCATGCACTTGCGCAGGCGGATGAAGTCATTTTACGCCACGAACCCGCGTACGTCGAGCACTGGCAATAACAGGAGTCGTATAGGTAAGATCACCATGGCCATGATCAAGAACGGCCGCTTGTCTTCTAAGGCCGCCGAGACGCGGCATCTGTTGCCCCTTGCCAAGATTTCATTAACCGAGAACCAGCATCTTTTGTCTAGGAACGACGTGCTGCTTAAGCAAGCATGTGACGAGCACTGCAAAGTCCACGACGTGATGCAGTTTGAGCCCCGCCAGATGTCGGCGGATGGCATCGAGCGCGCGCAAAGATCGGCGCTGCGCCTTCTCCAGTTTTGGAAGTCTCGGGGCGGGGGGCTTGTCTTTAAGCATCGCGTGGCTGCGCATCTCATTTTTAATGCTGAGAAGCTCGGCAATCCGCTGTGCTACTGGTGCTACCCAGATGAACGGGGGAACCGCGTCATGGCTCGCGTCGCTCGTTCTGCCCACGGAGGATCCACACTTTATAGTGCATTTATGGGGAAGGTCTTTCCTGATATGCTTTAAGTATTTAAGTGGTCTTAGGTGTTTATAGGCTGTGGAGCAGAAAACCTCCTCCTCCTCATCCTCGATCCCCTGGAGATCCACCTCCTCGTCCTTCCTCCCTCCCCTTCCTCGCCCTCCTCGCCCTCCTCGTCTCCCTCGCCCTCCTCGTCGACTCCTCGAGGATCCAAAGGGGGGGGGGGGGGGGCGAGGAGGGGGGGGGGGGGGGGGGGGAGGAGGAGGAGGACGGTCGTCGCCCTCCTCGCCCCCCCCCCCCCCCCCCCCATTTCTTCCTCTTCGAGGATCCTCCAGGAAGAGGAGGAAGAGGAGGAGAAGGATCCTGTTTCCTATCTCGCCCCTCCGCCCCCCCGCGCATCCTCTGGGGCCTGCGCGCGCCGCGCGGCGGCGGCCGATCGGCGGCTCTCCCAGAAGGGGAGGTGGGGCCAAAGGAACAAGGGAGGGGAAGCGTCGGTCGCCACGCGGCCGCCGAGAAGGGAAGGCGGGGCCAAAGGAACATGGGGGGAGACGCGTCGGTCGCCGCGCGGCCGCGCGGCAGGAGCGCCGCACGCACTCGCGCGACTGGGCGCGCCGTGCTCGAACGGCAGGAAATGCCATCTGCTTTTTCTCTCGTCTTGCTTGCTCCCTCGAGGGGGGCGCTCGCCCGTGCTAAGCTGCTCTGCCTGTTCGCCCCCCCCCCCCCCCCCCCTTCCGCCGACGTCCGGCGAGAGTTCGAAGAGGCAGAAGTAGAAGTAGAAGTACAAGTACAAGTATAAGCATGCGTACACGTAGGAAGTAAACTTAGAAGTACATGTACAAGTACGAGATAAACATGCGTAGGAAGTAAAGGTACAAGTGCAAGTATACGCAAAAGCAAAACTATCAGTAAAACTAGACGTATGATGTAAACATAAAAGTACACGTAGAAGTACACTTAGAAGTACAAGTGCAAATGCAAATGACAATGAACGTAGAAGTAAACACAGATGTAGACGAGGAGGAGGCTCGAGGACGAGGAAACCTGGGTTTCGAGACCTCCCCCCCCCCCTCTTCCTCCTCCTGCTGCTGCTGCTGCTCCTCCCTCCTCCTCCCCCTCCTCCTCCTCGATCCTCCTCCTCCTCCTCCTCCTCCTCCTCCTCCTCCTCCTCCTCCTCCCTCTCCCTCTTCCTCCTCCTCCTTCTCCCTCCCCTTCCCTCCTCCTCGCCCTCCCTCTCCTCCTCCTCCTCGATGGCCCGAAGCGATGAATCAGGCAATGATCGTGTCGCGATTTTCAATTTTTATTTGGTTGCCTTTTGATGGCAGCTGGGCGCGGTTAGAGGTGGAGCCGAGGCTTCGCCTGCGCTGGCCCGTCGACGGGGCGCAGCCGCAACCGCAGCCACAGCCGCAGCCGCAGCCCTAGCGACGCCCCCGCGGGGCCGACTTGGACGATCCCTGCGCCGAGCGGCGATCGACCGATCGATATTCGATAAATTTATTTCGCCGCTCGGCCACGCCCCGAAAACCAAGGCCCGTCGACGCCGACGAGTGGATCACCAGCAGCGAGAGCAGCGACGCCGAGACCATATCGGAGAGCGAGCCCGAGACGATCGACAGCGACGAAGCCAGGCGCCGCGATCAATCTCCCCCCTCCTCCTCCTCCTCCTCCTCCTCCTCCTCCTCCTCCTCCTCCTCCTCCTCCTCCTCTTCCTCCTTTTCCCCCTCCTCCTCCCTCCCCCTTCCGCCTCGCCATCTTGGCTCGGCCCGTATACGCGTGGCGTGGATGTCCTACCTGGTAGCGGAGAACCCTACAAATCCAAATACAACGTGCATGTTGCATACCACCCGCACAAATCTAAACACGTTACAGCGGCTGTATGACGGCTACAACGGCTGCAACTCTATGTTGAACGCGGCTTCGTTTCGTTGAAAGTCTTGCGCCCCATTTTCAATCCGCTCCCGATGAGAGCGCGCGTTGATTTTTTCAGGCGCTCGATTTTTTCAAGGCGCCTCAGCGCGCCTTGGAAAAATCATGCCCCAGGATGTCTGGGCCTCCGCGTGAAGCAGGGCCCGTTAGGCCCGAAGGGGTCGCCGCGGTTGCGCCATCGGATTCGCAAGAAGAAGCAGGGCCCGTTAGGCCAGACGGGAGCGCGGTTTCGGTCTCATCGGTCTTCCAAACTGCAACAGGGCCCGTTAGGCCGAGAGGAAGTCGCGACGTCTCGAGCCCCCGCCCCCTCCCTGGCAGCCACCCAGAACGGGGGTCGCAGCGGCGCCCGACGGCAGCGACCCGCGACTGCCCTGGGGGGGGGGGGCCCGCGGGAAGGCGCGCTTCCCCCCGACGGGGCCTCCGCTGCCGGCGGAGGCCCGCGCCCTGTAGGGGGTAGCAGCGCGGCGGCAGGGCAGCCAGCCCCGATGGAGGTTGAGGGCCTGCCCCCGGCCTCCCCCGTCGTGGTCGTCGCTGACAGCCGCGACCCAGCAGGGCCCGACCTCAGCTATGCCGACCCAGCGGGGCCCCTCGGGCAGGCGGGCCCCTCCCAGACGGACGTGGACGACCCCCCGGGCCACTCCGACGCGGTGGCGACCAGCAGCAGAGACCTTGGTGGACCAACCCTTGGAAGGGGCGGATCCAACGAGGACCCCCGGGCATCCGGCGCAGACAGCCCACGAGGGGCCCCGCGCGGAGGGGGCCGCTACCGAAGCAGCGGTGCCCGCGCGGAACAGCCCCACTGCAGGGGGCCGCGGAGGAACGCCTCCCAGCGCCCAGCCGAGGACCCCCTGCAGCGATCCAGCGACGAGCACTGCCGAAGCCGCCGCCGCGGCCAGCCACGGCCGCCCCGCCCTGGCCACAGCCGCAGTTGCGCGAGCCGTGGCGCCGTCGCCCGCTGCCGCCGCCGCGGCGGGCGCGGCGGCTGCCGCCGCTGCCGCCGCGGCGGGCCACGCCGCGGCGCTCGCCTGGATCCGCCATCAGCCAGGGGCCCCAATCGCTGCACTCCTAGGGCAGGCAGGCTGCCCGCGTCGAGCAGGGGCAGCCGCCTCCGCCGAGCAGGACCGACCGCCCGCGATCCTAGGACAGTGCGTCGACCCCCCTCCGATCGCCCCCCCCCATTCCCCCCTCGCTATCCCACCGCCTCCCGGCCTCCCCATTCCCTCTCCTGTGTCCATGGGCTCGCAAGGGGGCGAACCACGCCCTCCCGCCGTCTCCCGGGGAGAGGCCCCTCCCCGCGGAGGACCCCCCGGCCTGCCCACTATCTCCCGACTGGTCCCCCGCAGATCACCGGCGCGCCACCGCGGGCGGAGGCGGGACCTCAGACTCTGAACCAGGCAGCGTCGGGCAGGACGCCAGAAGATTACGAGACTGCACCGACGCCCACGCACGGTGGATGGGCGCCATAGGGCGCGCCGACTCTGGCTGGCGGCAAAGCCGCGAGAGCGACGGCCTGGCCAGCGGCCCACGGGTCGGCAGACTAGAGATGCACAGGAAGAGGAGGCACCATGGGAGCCCTTCCGTGGAACTACCAATGCGTCGAAGGTCCCGGCCTGGTGCGAGCTCGCGAACAGAGGGGTCGAGCGCGCCCCCGCGCAGAGCCACAGCCTCGAGATGCTGGTGCATCGCAGCTGGAACCGGCGCCGCCCCGGCCACCCTGGAGCGCACCCGAACTCCCCTCTGCGGTCATCGCCCCCCGACCCGCGCGACGGGCTGCCAGCCCCGACCCGTCTAGCTGCCGCAAGCGCCCTGGCGCTCGTGGACCTGTCGGGGTTTGTCTGGTCAATCATGGGCGCCGATCATGAGGGCAGACTAGGGGGAATTCGACCAGATCCGGTGCAGATGCTCGCCCTCCGCCCAGTTCGCAAGCGTCGCGCGCGACCCCTTGATACGCGCTAGGAGACTCGACAGCGACAGCGCCAGCCCCATGAAACTGCAACTGGCGCGACCCAAATGAGAGGCCATGGCGGCGGCCGCGCACCACTGTGACCTCGGCATGGCTGCCGCAGACAGCCTACTGCCAGAGACCTTCCTCGCTCCCACCAGAGCTTGCCTCGACCAAGTCCCCAGGAACATGTCCGGGCCATGCAGGCCCGATGGAACAGTCGACCCCGTGGATGATGAAGCACGGGCCAGAGCACACAGAGCACGAACGCAGAAAGAACATCCTACACCTCCCCGACCACGGCGACATGAGGAACTGGGCGAACAACAACGGAATCTTCAGCAGTCAGGGAGACGACGCGCTCTCACTCGAGCAATATGGACACCACCCCGGACCAATTCCCTGGGCAGCACCGGCTCTGGACAGCGCCGCCCCCCGAGGGCCGGGCATCCCCGAAGTGTCCGTGCAAGGCGGAGACCCGTCAGCCGGCCCATGGCCTTGGAACACCGCCGCGCATCGCATGCTATTCGGCGACTTCTTCTGCCCCTCCACCCGCTGCGACTTTTCCGGGGCCTGGCAGCTTAGGGGGCCGATGGGGCGCTCCTGCATTGCCTGCCGTCGGCTGGCCGTTCCCTGGAGCATCGTTGAAGCCGTGTCGGCCTTGGACATCTACCAGCCACCCAACCACCCGTTGGACGCCCTGGGACAAGACCTTTCCTTCCAACTGGCCAGGGTCGGAGCCAGATGCGCCCCGATAGCAGAGCACTTGTGCGCGCCCCGAGCGCCGGGCACAGTGGGCCACGCTGCGTCCTGGCTAGTCGGTGAGCTGCTCGGCGCGTGGAGGCGCATGGCCATGTGCCCAGGCGTCTGGATCAGCGGCCGAGTCCTTTGCAACTGGGACCTAGGAGAGGATCCCCAGCTCCGCGCAGCAGTGGCAGCGCTAACCCAGCTATGCGCCGCCTCCACACAATGGGCCGTCAACGCGCGCAGGCGCATGCGGGGCCTGATCGAGGCAAGCCCGACGCAGATGGAGCTGCACAGTTGGTTCCCGTCAGTGATCGCCAGGC